CTCCCGCTGCCCCCCGTCCGCTTCCCCCAAGGCGATCCTGCCTCGGGCCTTTGTAATTGGTAATGCATTGCTGGTGTTTCCGTCAGAGGAAAGAAATAAATAGAGAAATAAATTAAAAAATGGGAGCATGGCCCCGTGGCGCTTTGTTTGCAGACAAAGGAAGGCCTTGTATTTCCACGCAGGAACCGTTGCGTGGTTCCTACCCCTTCTTGTCACGCTTATAAAAAAGAAAAGAAAAAGAAATGCAAACAAACCCACGCACACAACCTTATGGGATGAATGCTCAATGTATTCTGAGTAAACGATGAGCTCTGTGTGCTGTGCCTACCCACGTGCAGCCCTCCCTGCACGCTGTGTTTGTTAGCAAAGTTTAGGACGGTTCTAGATGTGTGTGTGCTGTGTGTGATATAGCACAACTTAAAATACGTAACAGAAATAAAGCTAATTATCCATAATGCTAGCTATCTGGAGACAAACCGCCAGATTTCTTTTGAAGGGAAGGATTGAGGCATATATGAAATCTAATATTTTTTTTATTTTCCCCTTTCTATTTTTTTCTTTGTAAGGTTTGAATTAAATAAAAGATGGACTGGACTGGAAAACATAACGGGCCAAATGATACAACTAATGATGGAACAGTGGTACGACTTCGAGGCCTGCCATTTGGTTGCAGCAAAGAAGAGATTGTTCAGTTTTTCCAAGGTACCTCTAGTATAGTCAAAATACAGTGACTGAGTTTTCTTGTTTGACGTATTTTAATTTGTAATAGCTGTTAGTGGGGTGGATGGGAGGGATTGTGTTAAATTAGTTTCTCTTAAAGAGAATTGTGCCCTGTAAATGAAATATTAATATATATCTAATTTTGTGAAGGTGGTAACATGATGCATATTGGGATAACCTGAATGTTAGCATTTGGAGCCATTAAATTACTGGATTGGGAGCTATATTTTCTTCATATAACTTAGGTGGTTGTATTTTTGCATAGTTTAAACGGAAAAGAAGTATGGCTAAATCCATAAATCTTTAATGAAAGATCATTGGCTTGTATTTGTTGGGTGATGGGGGAAATGAGGTGGTTTTCATTTTCGTTGTTGTTTAGATATGCTTTAAGTATTTGCTACAGATGGGAATGTTTCAGCCTTTAACACTGTTCCCCTTGATGGGGTTATTTGTCCTTGGGTTAAAGGGTTGGAAATCGTGCCAAATGGGATAACATTGACGCTGGACTACCAGGGGAGAAGCACAGGGGAGGCCTTCGTGCAGTTTGCTTCAAAGGAGATAGCAGAAAATGCTCTGGGGAAACACAAGGAAAGAATAGGGCACAGGTGGGGATGGAGAGTTTGGGATGGTGTTAAATCTTTATTTTTGGGGGTTGTGGGTCAGTAATGCTTTTTGGGGGGTTGGGGACCATTATATGGAACTGGCTGTTTTAAAGAATTTTTATAACTGATCCTAAGTTAACTTGGGAAATACGGTAGATTTGGGGGGTGGGGGAGACAGTATTGCTTTGGGTAGCTTGCTAAACTCAGAAAATTGTTGCATTCATTCTTGCATAGGGTAATTTGTGATAAATGCTGCTGTAGCCAGACATTGTTTTTCAACAGTATGTTTCTCATACTGGAAAGACATGCTTTATGCTTAATTTGTACAGCTAGAATTTTCACATAGTAATTTTTGCCTCTGTAAAGTGTGGGGTTTTTTTAATATACACTTAAGATTCTTACGGTTTTGAGGAGAAACTTAAGCTGTATGGTATCTCTAGTGACTTCTATTGGATTGTACGTTTAGTCATAGCCAATGTAGTGTGGCCTTTTATAATATTCAGACAGCTTATGCGTGTGTTCTTATTGGTACCTTGAAAATCCTCTTTTATTAGATATATTGAAATCTTCAAAAGTAGTAAGAGCGAAATCAGAGGATTCTGTGACATGCCAAGAAGAATGATGGGACAGCAACGACCCGGACCCTATGATAGACCATTAGGAGGAAGAGGGGGTTATTATGGAGCTGGGCGTGGAAGTATGTATGACAGAATGCGTCGAGGAGGTGGTGGATATGACGGTGGTATGTTTATCTAATGAATGGAGGTTCTGTGGTCAGCTTCGTGTTTCTGACATCTTTGTCAAGAAATAAAGAAATAACAGTAGCTGCAGTACCTGTTAGGTTTGACCCGCTTCTCGTAAAAATGTTTTCTTGTAGCGTATCCACAAACGTGGCTTAGTATTTCAGGTTAATGGAAATAACGAGGAAACCGTATTTTTGGCAAATTTGATCTCTCACTTGCATGTTTCAGTTATTTTAATGTATAAAAGGAAATGTACATTTGCACTCTGCTCAGAAATCCAGGTTTAATGGTCTGCAGAGGCTGTCTGCAAACTTCTGGGTGCCCAAAGGCTGAAAAATTAACTCTTGTGCATTGCAGTGTGAAGTTTGAGTAATGTAACCATTCCTTCCTTTCTCTCCATTGCACAGGATATGGTGGCTTTGATGATTATGGTGGCTATAACAACTATGGCTATGGAAATGATGGCTATGACGACAGAATGAGGGATGGGAGAGGTAAGAAACATTTTTTTAAAATAGTTTGTTTAAAAATATTTTTATATTATTTGAGTTGTAAGACAGAGTATTTCCAGGACAGAAGTAATTGCTTTTTTCATCAGATTATTTTGTAAAGAAAGAAGGTTGTTTTTAGAATGGAGGAAATTGGGAAATTTTAGGACAATGTAAGTAACATGGCTTAGGATGTCTTCTGGTTGTTTGTGTTGATAGTGTGGGAACTGTAAACAGTTTACATTCAGTGGTATAAAGTCAGAGCTTTCAGAAAAACAGCAGTAATTATGTTACTGGATTTTCGTAATGATCTGACATGTGTATGGTTTTGCTTGTTCTGTTTTTTAATAGGCATGGGAGGACATGGCTATGGTGGAGCTGGAGAGGCAGGGTCGGGTTTCCATGGTGGCGGTCATTTTGTTCACATGAGAGGACTGCCTTTTCGAGCAACAGAGAATGACATTGCTAATGTAAGTGCAGTAGGGAAAAGGGCTTTCCAATGCCAAGAGGTTGCGTGTTCTTGTCTTTCCAGACTCTGTTCAAGTTTGCATACAAGTGACTGACAGTTCTAATATGTCTGACATATCTGCTAACTAAAGTCACAGCCCTTTATGTGAGTTTTACAAAGCTTAGTAGTAAATGAGCTTCTATAAAGGTAGTGGCTGAGGTAAGATTACTGAAGAAGTCAGCAGAACTATATTTAACATTAATTTCCATACTCTCTTTTAATTTCCTTAAAACGTGTATTGGGGAGAGGACAGTTGTTGCAATCGGTGTCCTCATTTTAAGGCTTTCAGAAGTTTAAATTTAACGGAAGATTTACAGTTTTGTAGAAGAATGTTAGCAGATGCAGGACTTTGATTGTAGTTTATTTGTATGTTGATCTGAGATGTGTTTGGGCGGGAACAGAGTGGGAAAACCGTAGGGAGCTGTGTTTGATTGGAGGGTAGGGTTTTCCTTTACTCGTAAGAGATCAGGGTGGCAGATCAAAGCGTATCTGCTAGATTTTGGGAATACGTTCTTGTGTCAGTATAGATAAGGTGTTTGTTCACCTACACAATATATATGCAGAACTCCATTCTTAAGCTTGTGCTTGTTTGGGGTTTTTTTTCTGTATTTTAAATTGAGTTGTTTTCTTCTGTCTAAAGACTCTGTACCCTGCTTTGGGAAATTTATTTGGCTCTGTTTCTTCAAAAATTGCTTTCCTTATCCAGCATGGCATTACGTTAGAACCTGTTGCTTAAAGCAATGTGTCTGGGCAGGACTTTGTGTTTGCGTCTTTGCTTTTAAGAAAAGCTCCTCAAGCTCTGTAGCTGGAGCTCTTCGAGTTGTGGAGTGATAATAGGTTTTAAGTGTAGATTGACATAATGTTGAAGGTCATCACTATCACTAAGTAATAGTTTTGAAATTAGTAATTAATTTATGTGGTAGGATGAGATTAAATTAAAGCACTGCTCTACTGATGATGGGGATGAGAAAAAAAAGTGCTTGGCTTGAATTCTGCGTTAATGTGAATTTTCTTTGTTATTTTTATCCCTAGTTTTTCTCACCATTGAACCCTATAAGAGTTCACATTGACATTGGGGCAGATGGAAGAGCCACAGGAGAGGCAGATGTGGAGTTTGTAACACATGAGGATGCAGTAGCTGCCATGTCTAAGGATAAAAATCACATGCGTGAGTGTCATGTTCACCTGAAGCTTTCGTTGAGCAGGCTTTAGCAGGGTGTATAAGGGTTTAAACTGCATTGATATTAAGCAAATTATAAGACTTTTTTGTGGGCTTCTGTTAATTGTAAGTTGGGGGGGTGTTGTATTGTAGCTCTGTGCTTGTGGTTTCTGAAACAAAATACAAAGTAAAGCTTTCTTGGTTCCTGCAGAGCATCGATATATCGAACTCTTCCTGAATTCGACTGCTGGAGGTGGTTCTGGAATGGGAGGCTATGGCAGAGATGGCATGGGTATGCATCAGCTCGACTCGCCTGACGCTTTGCCAAGTCTGACACGTTCCAAGCTTGTTGTAACGGTGCACTCTCTGCTTTTCAGATCAAGGTTACGGCTCTGTTGGCAGAATGGGAATGGGTAGCAATTACAGTGGTGGATACGGAACTCCTGATGGCCTGGGCGGATACAGTAAGTACAAGCTCTGTTTTAAATGTGTTTTGTGAAAACGTTGCTGATGGACCATGGGGAAGGGGAGTGGGCTCTATGCTGTGGAGTGCTGGGAGAAAGAGGCAGGGGGTGGTTTGATTTAAACTGTAAATCACTTGGCAAATGCCTGTTTAGAAAAACAGTGCTGCAGTATTGTTATTTTAGTGTAAGTTAAGTCATCTTCAACCAACTGTTCCGTATTACCCATCACATTTTTTCTCTTTTCAAGGTATGTATGCGTGACCTTGTGTCAATTGTTTGCAGGTCGTGGCAGTGGAAATAGTGGAGGATACTATGGGCAAGGCAGTATGGGTGGAGGAGGATGGCGTGGGATGTATTGAAGGATAGCCTTGCTTCTGCAAAACATCCTGGAAGAAACAGTCTCTGGTCTACTAGACTTTCTTACAAAATTTAATTTCTTTTGTATTTTAAGAACTTTATAATGACTGAAGGAATGTGTTTTCACAATATTATTTGGTAAGCAACAGATTGTGATGGGAAAATCTGTTTTCTGTAGGTTTTATTTGTTGCATACTCTGACTTTAAATAAATTTTTATATTCAAACCACTGATGTTGATACTTTTTATACTAGTTACTCCTAAGGATGTATTACATATTCAAGACTACAGTCGGTTTAAGATGTTGTACTATGGTTCAATAAAGGTGGTTGTACTGTAACTCTTATGAACACTGATTCAGTTCTATGTAATCTTGGTGTAGTGAGCGAGTTTAAAAACTTCACTTGTTTAAGGGGAAAAAGGTAGGTGAATAGATTAGTTTATTTGGTAACAAACCCTTTTGGTAAGTTGTATGTAATGATTTCAACACAGTGTAGAGCTGTGGAGGCTAAAAGTCATGGTTCCAGCTTTTTTCCTTGTACTACCAAAATCTCTTCTGCAAATGCACAGCTGCATAAACGAGTGGCACCCAAGGCCTGTGCCTCCACAAACCCAGCAGTGACGTTGATTCCCACGCTTTGCTGTAGTGTGCTGGTACTGCCTTTCATACCTGTAAGTCACAAAACAAGCTGAAACACTCGCACAGCTTTTGGCTAACATGAAATAGGTCAAAACCTAGTTAATTTGGAGCTATCTGTGTGGTGGTTTTTCCATGAACACTGCTTTTGGGAAGAGTGGGGCAGTTTGAAGCTAGTTAAGACCTTTTTTTTGTGAAATTACTGTATTTAAAGACGATTCAGTGGGTTTTTTTTCTGCTGCGTAGAGCTGATTTGTCTAGTTCAGAACTCAACAAGCCATTACAGGGGTGAGCTCATTAGAAGCAAGGTATCTCTAAAATAACTATTAAGCCCAAAACTTGTGAAACACACAACCCAAACACGCTGATAAAACTTTGTGCATTTGTGACATGTAAGATATGTAAGAAACTATTGTTTGAAGACACTTACCATACCTGATGTGTAATGGGAAAAAGGTATTTATTCTTCTGAGCCAGTGTGATCTCCCAAATTAACTGCCTTGTCCTCAATGCCTCCCTTAAAATGTCAACTGTGATCTTGGGTATTGAAAGTTTGTCACCTGTTTTGCTAGTACTGTGTTACATATGTAATAAATGTCTTCTTGTGGGAGAGGCGAATGGAGTTTATTTCACCAGAGAGTGCGTTCTTGTGTCAAAGTGGCTGCAAGTAAGAGCTGAAAGGGTAATTGGCAGAGGAAGCTTTCCAAGAATCATAGGAAGCTTTCCAAGAGTTACAGTATTTTTGGCTAGGAAGGGGAGGGAAGATGAGGTCTTAACACCAGTGACCTTAGAGGGCTTTAATTCAGCTCTGTGCCCTGAAAAACTAGGGGGTTCCTGGTCTGTTGCTGAAAAAGTGTGTTTTGTAAAATGGCAGCGGCAAAGGTCAGGACAAAAGCTAATCCAGTTGCAGGAAAAAATGCCTTTACAGCAAGGAAGGTGCCTCATGGAAGCACATTTTCTCTGTCAGCATAGCAGATAGCTGTGAAGTGGTGTCAGCTCTGTACTATTTCCTCACTTTGCATTCCATTTTGTGAGCAGGAACACTAATGCCTGTGTGAGACTTCCCTCTGAGAGCAGGGCGGCAGTTCTGCTTTGAGCTGTTTTGTATAGCCAAGCACTCCACAAAAGTACCCTGAACCTGAGTCGTGACAAATGAAGCCCCACCGTGCTGGCCAGTGAGTCCCTGTCCCTTCCACAGCAGCACTTCACCCTGTAACGAGCAGCCTTCAGTGCTGAACCTTTCAAGTCACTGAAAACAGCATTGAATTGCAAAGGAATTTGTCTGGTCAGTGAGAAAGTTTTGGATCTAATTGCTGTACACCAAGATAGGTTTCAGTCTTTGCTGTGAAGATTAGAGTTCAAGGGTGTGTTTGCCTGCTGGGAACGGCTGAGGCAAGCAGTTGTGCGCTGAATGCCAGGAACCAGCTGGGTCTTCCCTTTGCTTTCAGAGAAGCAGGTGCAAACAGCAAGAAAACACCTTTGCAGAGAAGGAGCAGCGTGTTTTCATGTTTACTTTCCAATGCCCCCAGTTCATTGAGTCAGAAGTCATCTCCCAGGGAGAATGTGAACGAGGCTGCCCCGATGCTGTGTGAACAGGTACGGTATCTTTTGATGAACAGAGGAGGTACCCACAGATCTTGCTGTGCTCGGGGTGAGGAAGGCCATTTAGAATTTCAGTCTGTCAAAGAACAGGGCTTTCTAGACAGACAAAAATACAGGATTAATGACAAGCAGTCCAAAAAACAGCTCCAGGCAGGCCAGGTACGTAGTTTGGTGCTAAGGGGAAATAAAAGTATTAAATATTCAATGTTTTGTTCAAGGCACAAGTTTTATTTTGAGTAAGTAAAAGCAATCTGAAGAATTCTGTTACTGCAGTGTATTTTCCCATGCAAAAGACTTGAAGTAACAGAAATCTGATTTATTGCATGTTACAGAAATGCGCTATAATCTTATTTTAAAATATTGCCTATTTTAAAATAAACTTTGTTTAGCTGCATTTATTTTTAAAAGTTACTTCTTAGAGCAGTTCAGATTGGCACCATCTATCCTAGGTGAAACCCTGCTGCCTCCGTACCTGCCCCACGTAAAGCCCACTGGAAAACGCTGAAAGCTTTGAGGAGGCCCGCGAGCAGCTCTTGGTTCATGACACTGGCAGGGTGGCTCCCCACTCCCCAGCACACACACACACTTTCTGGAACAAGTCATCACAAAACATTCAGCATTCTCTGAATTACAAACTAAATAAAGTGACATTCCCAGAGTAAGTTGCAGATCAATTACATTTATTTTTTCCAAAAGCTATTTACAGATTTACAAGTATTTGTTTTCTATTTTACAAAGTTACATTAGATAACTTTAAAAAACATCTTCTTTACAAAAGCTACAGAAGCAACTACGTTGAGGTGTTAAAAAGAACAGCTGTATTAGCTTTTAAAATATTAACTACCCTCAAAAGACAAAGCGAAGCTTAACAAAGTGCAAGAACAATTAGCAGACCTGTCTCAAAGCCTCCCTTCTGGCAGCAGCAACATCCCAGGCCCGCAGCTGAAGGAACGACTGGGCCAATACTTCTGCTGAGAGCCTGTCAGCGCTGACCGGACTTGCAGCATCCACGGCTGGAGCCCACCACGGGGGCAGCTCACGGGCAGGGGCTGGACTGGCTCCAGCGCAGTGACACGGGAGCGAGGACCGTTTCTCAAAGGATGCGTTTGTATTTGTATCTGCCTACAGGAAGAACGAGGATTTACATTGCAGCAGTTCCCATCAGTGTGAGGAGTGGTCAGACCCAGACATACTCAAAAGTGCTCCAGAAAAAATGAAGCTTAGGAACAAACTGTGACAGTGTGAAAGAGATGATGACAAGTAAGGAAGAACCTTCCTGTCCAGCACAGAAAGGACGTGGTCCCAGCATTTAATCCTGGTCTTTCTTGGTGGGACATCCACTCTGATGATAGAGCTAACACAGTGACCACGTGTACAGGTTTGAAAGCACAACTCAGAATGAAAATAACGCAAAGAGATTTGTTCAAGGTTACAGACAATGTCAGACAAAACTTGTGTGGACATCTCTCTTTTAATGCAAACACATGGCAAATTAACAGCTAATTCTAAAAAATAATTCTACGCACTGCACCTTCCTTCAGCAAGTGCCTAGAGGCACTGTTGCCTGTCTGACAAAATCCCCCTTTGCATCTCTGACTACAAAGAACAGAGCTGCCAATGCAATATTCTTGGATGTATCAAATTTTGATAACTGAGAAGTAAACACACACGGTATTTGGCAGTAACCTCTCAGAACACTGTATTAATTGCATTATTTTTTTTAAATACCATTTAAATCTAGCTACCACGCATCTGTGCTTCACAACAGCGCATCACAGACATTCTGCAGCAGAATTGGGTTGGACTCGCTGCAGACCAGCCTGGAAAAGCAGGGAAGTGTCTCACCTTTTTCAAGATCATCATAACGACCAAGATCCTCATCAAATACATGTTAATACTGAGCTTCCTCTATGAACTTCCTCCAAAAGAGCCTCTGAGCCATGTGATAGACAAACACTGTCATCCGTATTTTTAAGACACGCATTTTCTGTCTTTGGGTCCCATTTTCTCTCTTTGTTTCAACAGGAAGCAGACAACTCCTCCGTGGTACCTTGACAATGCAACTCTGGACTGCTTACCTGCAATTCTGGAAGTAGTGCTGTACATTCTTTAGTTGGTATCTTTGTTACAGGATTAGCTAAATACCAAAAAGTTATAAACATCTTGTAAAATCATCTTATGGCACATTAGAAGAGCACCTCTGTATAAGTATTGCGTGGCAGGAATCGCAGACCCGAACAGGCTTCGGCGAAGAAGGCAGAGGCAGCTCGTTGTCAGAACAGGCATTGCAGAAGATCTCACCACAGTTCCTACAATGATGCTAAAATAGCGGGGGAAAACAGCGGGGAGTTGGGGGAGCACAAGGAAAAAAAATGAAAGGGAAATATAATAATGTTAGAATAATATAATAATATATAATTTTTATATATATATCTCTATGTATACACACATAATATAATCTAATAATAGGGTAATTGGCTATGAATAAACAATACACACAGAGCAGCCTGAAGCGTGATTCCTTCTGCTGCTTTGGTCTGAGCATGGACTCAGTTTCCAAAAGATAATTCACCTCCATCCCAATTGGTGCAGTCCTAGACCATGGTCTGTCTCTGACTGCATCACAGACAGACAGACAGTCTGTCTAGGACCATTTTTATTCCTTATATATATGCTTTGCAGATTTTGTTCAATCTTGTCTCACTCTGCTTTAAAAATATAATATAAGCAATTCTATTTTAAAAAGTAGATGATTTTATCAGGCAGCTGATTAAGATTTAACATAAAAAGGTCCAATAAGAATTTCTGCACACATTAATAAAGCATGGAAATTACTACATTTTACTTTAAAACAACAATAAACTAATAAAGTATTAGACTATTGTATAAAAAATGCCACAAAAAGACTTTGATGTATGAAATTTTAACAGTGCCAGAGCTGACAAGCGCTGGAGATGATGATTCAGCCTCCTTCGTGGAATCACCTTAGGTATGTTCCTTTGTGGCACTTCACCAAAAGGCCCTTTTACTTTGAAACTGGGGCCCAGCTGCATCGTCCTTACCAAAGGACTAGAAAGTCATCTCAAAAATGACTATGCATTCATCTGAGCACTGACACTGTATGCTGCACCTCTAAGATCATTGATGTTTACCTCGTCATACACGTGAACAAGTCAGAAGAAATTTTGTAAAGTTTTACCTTCCTTTTGGAAAGGGAAAATTCCTTTTCACATAACTTGCAATGTGTGGCCTCTTTGTCCTTCAACCAAACCTGGCCCTGCAGAAAAATTTAACATAACTGTATGTATGTGATGAAGTTAAACCTTGGTACCAGAGGCCAAGACAAATCAACAGCACTACGTTTACTGCCTGAATTGCCTGATGCCCTGAGAGCAGCATAATGTAACGAGGACTAAACTTGTCCAAGTCTGCTCAGAAACACTGCAAAACCTTAGGAGATGAGGCAGAGCAGGAACAGATGCAAAGAGAACACCCTCGAGGTAGTAAAGCTGCTCAGTGGAGAAACTGAGAGAAGCAGAAAGGTACCCAAGACTCAGAGCTGCAGCCTATTTCCCTGCCCATCGCATAGGAAGGGTCCCCAGGATGCAGAGAAGCAAAGAAATAAAACTCAGTACAGCATCAAGAACTGTTAATTCCTTTCTGTCTGAATGAATTAATAAACCCAGGAATCTGCTCAACACAACCACTGCACAAACCTTTCCTTGGGCTGAAATAATAAGCAAGGTGACGTTCCACGTGGTGGAACACGTGCAGACGTGATCTCTGCTCTCACCTGCTCCTTGCATAACTCTTCAGGAAGTTCCAAACCTCTCAACAGAACGCAGAATATTTTATCAGCTTTGGTACTACAAGTTTACCTAATTCCTAGGATGATCAAATATTTATTGATCACCGAGTAGCAGTACATGATTTAGGCTCAGTTGGCTACACAATCTGTCCCAGACAGACTCTGTAAAATACAGAAGGGGGTATCACTGCCAGAAAAGTATCACAACGCACAGCTGTACATCAAGCAAGAAAAATCAAAAGCAACCGAGGCTTCCCACGAGGTTACAGGGAGTCTGTGGTTCTCCCCTGCTGGAGGAAGTCATACCATGAGTCTATTCTGAAAACTTGCTGTTGGAGAAAAATCTTCTCGTGCTTCTAAAATATTTCAAAGGGAACAAGAAAAAGTTTCTCTTTCCTCCAAATACTACTGACCTGCAACGCTTTGTTCGCTTCTTTTATATCTTCAATTTTCAGCTTTGATCTAAAGAATAAGATAATGCTATTTCAAACTTCTATATTGTCAGTTATGGTCTAAGAACTTTAAAAGTTGTAGGTACTTAAAAACGACAAGCAAAGTACTCTGAACTTTTAGTCAGTATTTTGTATTAGAGCAGGAGCCAGGAGATGCAATCACCATCACACCCCGCTGTACCAAGCACTACACAAGAACGAGGTCTCTCCGAAGAGCTCAGAATCTTTTGAATGGCTGTAAAATTGCCTGGGGTTACGTGGACAAGAGAAATTTGTACCAGCACAGCTCTGTGCGTGCACCTAAAGCTATCACACAGCATAGGTACAGAAGCAGAATCGAAACTTCTGGGTGTGCAGAAGGCCACGTTGTCATCATGGAGAAACCAGGCTTCCCACAGCCATCCAGTGCCAACCCCTCAGAACTGGCCGAGTCACAGTATATACGCCAAGTCACCCCACAGGGCATGAAAGTCCACACCGGTCACAGCAGAACCACTCAGAAGACAGAGCTCATTAAATGAAACTTTAACAACATGGAACAGTAACAAGAGCTGTGCTTGGAGCTTACTGACCACTACAGTTTGAAGCAGTTTTGATAAGGTAATTAATTCATCCCCTACATCCTCTACAGACTTAGTGACAGTGGCCTATGGTTGTCATACACAGAATCTTCCTCTCTTCCAAGAAAGGAATCCATGAGCATGCATCCCCACAGAAAGACCACCACTGTCCTGCTGGAGCCAGAGCTCCATCTTCCACTTGGGTTCTCCCTTGGGAATGCCACAACATGCAAACTAGATCACCATTTTTAACGCAAAACAACTCCTAAGGCCCCCGGGCCCTTTTAAACTAGAATTTTCTGCTCAGAGCACTGTAATCACCCATCAGTTCACAGCTACCCCATCAGCGGAAAATAAAAACAAACACATCTGACCTACCTACATATAAAGCTTTTTAGTAACTGGCTAGGCAGTATTGTCCTATACAGTCTAATTTACATGACCACCATACTATTATTTTTTCTTAATTCAAGTTTATATGGCAAAAGTGATCGTTATAATTAATAACAAAATTACTCGCTCAGTTTGGATGCCAGTTCTTCAAGAGCAGCTTCTTGGTCTTGACATATCCTTTTCAGTTGCTTGTTCTTTTCCTGAATTTTAAGGAACTCCTTAAAAACAAACAGACAAAACCCCCCAAAACTCAGATTATTCTCAAAATGGTATTTGTCTACCGCCTAGAAAATTGCTACTACCCAAAGCTGATCTTACTGAGAAAGCCCAGAGTGATCCATCACACTCTCTGTTAAGATTCCCGAATCCAACTCAAACAGCAACAACTCAGGATTTAACACTCTTAGACCCCAAGAGATGATGCATTTCTGTCTCTGCAGTCCTCCCCAGAAAGAAAAATAAAACCAGTTCTGCTTGCAGAGATCAGCAGCACCACATACCCATGTGTACCGATACCAAGTCAGAGAGAGAAGCTCAAGCCCTTTCTGGCCTGCCATGAGAAGACAGAGCCTTCAACACAACTGAGAAAAGCAAAAAGGAAATCCTCATTTTCCTATTCAAAGCACTGAGTTCTGATCTGAGGACTACATGGAGAGAAAAACCCATTTTTAAAAATCCAGTTGTGAGAATACATGAATCTAATCTTTCTTATCTACTGGCAGAGATTCTTAAAGATACCACGTCTAAGTCCACAATTAACTTTGCAGCCAATTTCTGAATTACTAGAGTAGTTTTACTGCAGAATTTACTTTTTTAACGTTAATTATTTCTTGGGTCTCTACTCTCAGATGAGACACAGTTTCCTTTTCCTTCTGCAGGTCATCCTCCAAGGTCTGGCGCCACTCTTTTTCTATCTTCAAATCTGTTTCCAGCTGAAGTCTTGAATATGCAAAACAAACAAAACAAAAATCACTCCGTACAACACGATCATTTATCAAAAATAAAAATCAGTTTACTTCTGGATGCAATATACCATCATAACAGACAATTCATCTGTTTACACGTTTTCTAAAGCAGAAATCATGCATCCATATTTTAAACATCACTGTAATAAACAAAACTAACACCGCCACTTAGAAAATGGTTTTAACAAGAAATATATTTAATGGGCCAAGAATATGGCATTATTTTGAAGAGCTGACCTTTGTAATACATGAGCAAGAGAAAAGTAACCACAAAATCATAAAGTATTTTTAAAACACGTAAGGGAAAGCCCCATTGATCGTACATAGCTTGTTTCTAAAATAAAACCAACCAACCACACTGCCACTGGTGATGCAGACAATGATTGCACACATCTCTGGTGCTCGTAAAAGGTATTTACCATCACACCTTCAGATGTGAACCTTCTATTGTAGCCTAAGGCTTACGGCATTTTGAACAGAATTGAAAATGGAGGAGGAAGGCCTTTAAATGACTATTTTTATTGAGCTTCCTGCGTAGCTGAGGTTAAATATAACGAAGGATCTAAACTCTGAGTTTAACTGGAGTCCAGTCAGGGCTACTCCGACGGAAGGTCCGCTCTAGCTAGAATTTCACTGCCAGTTCCATGGAGGAGTTGGGGTTTAGAACGTTATGAGAAACCAATGGAAGGAAACACGCAACTCAACCTTCCAGATCTCCACTGTGCCAACGCAGTAAGAGGAAAAAACCTGAGAGTAGTCATGCACGGTTTTTTGATGGAAAACCTGTATCCACATTAATCTTCCTGTTTTAAAACCAAAACCATTTTTAAAGGAAAGACTTACATTTTGGGACACTACCTCAGCATCTGGCTGGGAAAGATCAGAAGTGAACATGACCTTGAGGTTTCAGAACTGCAGAATTCTAAGGCTGGGGTCTGAACTGTTCTTTTGCCAAAATCTGCAGAGATGACTGTGGTAGTAAAGTGAACATTTGTCATGACAGTTAAACAAGTTTATTAACATTCAGCGTTGTGAGACAGGCAGGGTGGGCTAAGAATTGGATTGGAAATCACTAATTTTTAAGCCTCAATCCTTGCTGTGCCACAGATTTGCACTGTCTTAAATAATTTACTGTTATCTTTCCAAACAGGCAAAACACCTGCCCTTACAGGGAGCTTTTTAACATTGTATATTTATTTAAATCAATACTGAAGGATTTAACAGGAGAAAAGGTAGAGAGTTGGCTTTTATTTTACTTTTTAATATTTATGATTCCAGTGGATTTCTGTCTTGTTATTTCCTGCACAATGGTAAGTTAAACCACTTCTACCTTATCTGTAAGCCTGACCAATTAAACTATTCTTATGCCACTTCTGTTTAAGTTTATACGACTACATACTTGTGGGTTTTGTTAAACGTGTGTATTACTACTACGCTATGTATTTTCCCCCACTTACAATAATTTCCTCATGAATTAAGCTGGCACTTTTAGGCAAAAATAATGCTGTTCTTCCCCCTTCTTTCAAGCTGCACACCACGTTAGGGGTGCCCAAAGGTCGCCTGACTTTCTTAGAATGGCATCTTTTCCTCCACCTTGCCAGTACCTAACATGAAGATCTTTAGTATTTACATTCTGTTCAAAACCATTTATCAACAACCAGCCCGTATTAAGACGCAGGACACATTGCAATGCAGAACCTTTACTGCTGCGTATTTTTCCAAACAGGAGATATACTTACAGCTGTTTCTCCTTCTGGGAGAATTCTTTCTGCAGACTTTCAGATTTATTCACATATTCCTGCTTAAGTTTCTCATCCTCAGTCTCAGCCTCCATTTGAGCCTTCTCTGCTTGCTGCAATCTGGTGTAATTCAAATCAACTTTGGGTAAAACTGAAGCTAGAACTAGGGTGTAGAGGGTGAAGAAGACAAATAAAAGAAAAATGGGGAAATAGAAACATTTCTAAATAAAAACAAAGCTTGGGGGAAACTCACAAACTCAAACGAGAAATCCATACAATGCCTAGAGAACTAGCTCCTGTTTTTTCATACAGTAAGAGAGTAATCACTGTAAGTAATCACTGTTTTATTTGATGCTCATGAATAACAGATGCCAAAGCATGATGATACATAATTTAGAACTGAAGCATATATCTTAATGCTCTTTTTTGTTGGGTTTTTTTTTGCATGTGTTGTGCAAAACCAGCTCAGAACAATTCAGGCATAAGACTGAACACAGAGCACTGCAATCAGACAGCAACGAAATTTAACTGGCTTAATACAACACGACACATCCTGACAGGTCTCACTACATTTACAGAACTACCTCAACTACATCATATTATGAAATTAATTTCAATAATCTGTATTAAAAATAATGCATTCTTACACTGATTAAAATAGCTCCATATTATAGACAAAATAAATTAAACTGATTAATCAAGTGAGGGTTTGGGGTTTTTTTAAATGTAATCAGAACTCCAGGAGTTTGTTTCTGCTCCAGCTAGCACTTCCCTTGAAATCCCACTGTGGTTCCTCTCTGCTTGGTCACCTCTTCAGATCAAAAAAGAGAAGGATGTAACGTCACAAAAGCAAAGGTACTACAATGGAACTTGGCCTCTATCGTGCTTCCACCCGTCCTGATAAAAAGCCAGGAGAGCAAAAGAGCCTGGAAAATACTGCTGAATGTCCACACCTGCTGCACCTTGTTTAACAAAACTGATTCAAGGGCCTCCTGGGTAAGCAGTGGGAGGAATCTCTGTGCTTGGTTTCTCAATTCCCAGCAGCTAGCTGAATGCAGAGTGACTCACGACTCCGAATGTCAGCTAAAAAGAAATGAAGTCAGCAATAAGTCTGCATTTGTGCTTCTACTGATGAAGTTGCACCAGCAGGAGTTTCCAAAAGATGCTCGTAAACATGTGAAAAAGACTGGGATTAAACTACTTTATCAAGTGAGTACTGTCTCATTCAACTCTACCAGTCACGTTAAGAATGTTCCCAGTCACATCTGCAATGGTAGTGTCCAGAGGGCCAAAATACGTACGGAAAAGAGACTACTGGGAAAAAGCAGGGTCAATTCGCTGGGCAAAAGCAGCTGAATGAAGCTACAAAAGACAGTAACACCAAAAGCAAGCTTAAACCCTCCCCAAATCACAAATTAAACTGCAGCCTACTTTCCACAACCAAGGTAGAAAGGGAGCTTGCTACCCAAGAAACGTGCTAGCCAAGCCAGGCTACAGCCCCATCCTCCAGCCTAGCACCAAGACTAACTGCCCCGCTGTCGGTCACACAGCTGCACCGAGGTGGCAGCAGGACTGGAGATTCAGGTGACACTGAGGCAGGAAACTGTTTGCACAGATGACCATCAGATGGTTAACGCTCCCATTTCTGCTACCGTCTACTTGTTTCACTCAGTGTTTCTGGTTTGGGTTTTCTTTGAGGACGAGAGATATTTATTTTTCATTTTAGCAGCCAACCATGTTAAAGGCTCTGATTCCAAACCAAGAAATAAGGTAATATATAATCATGGAGCAGAAATGCTTTCTGTACTATTGCATCCTGCCATCACTTTTGCAAACACATCCCCTTCTGCTGGAAGACCCTAAGATCCCTTTCCCAGCCAACCTCCCTCCACACTTCAGAGCAAACAGTGAGAAGCACATCAAGAGCTGTCAGCAGCTAAAACTCTCTTATTTCTGCACTGCTGGCAAGCAGCAACTCAAAGCAGGGGTATGAGTTGTAAAGACTGCCTAACGATGGGCAGAGAGAGGGAAAAGAGCTTGGGCAAGGTGCAGACAAACAACTACGGGTGCAGACAAAGCCACAAACAGGCAAGATCCTCAGCTGACAAACAAGTTAGACAAGTTCAGGATCTGGGCCCTGAACGTAAATCCTACTTATTACTACAACTTCCACTGCAGCCCTCGTGGTGCAGCTCTTCTAGGCAGGAGTCACAGCTACAACATTTGCTAGAGCACACTGCCCTCTGTGTTCGGAGCCCCATCCAAGACCAGGCTCCAAACGAACTTTAACACTGTGAAAATCTTTTCCTCCACATCGCAGCAGCAAAATGGAATTGTGCTTTAGCTGTTTTACCCCCAAACGCTGTAATTCTGCCACTGAACACACATGCTGACCCTTGCCTCTTTTTTTAAATTACATTATTCTGATACAGCACTCGAACTCCTTTGCCCCAGACTCCTGCCACTCTGTTAAAGAGGACAGTGCTAGTTAAAACCCATCGGAGAGCATGCTTTTGGGATAAATACAGCCTAAAAGTGAAAGAAATAAGCAGGGGAGAAGGAAAATATTAGTCAGAAGGGCTACTTTTTAAATCTGTTTGTACCATAGTACAGATTGCTAGATTAGAAACAAATGTCATAGAGATGTGCAAAGTAAAGATAGCTAACGTTTTAAAACAAACAGTTAAGAAGTGATTAAATAGCATTAGAAAACTAGCTTATATTTGCTTAATAATAGTGCAATCGTTTACTATTTTTTCTGGGGTTTTTTGTGGTTTTTTGGTGTTTTTTTTTAATTTTTAAGGGGGGGTAAAGTGAGATCGGAGATGATGTTCTTTCAGAAAACAAAACAGAACCCAGCTACGATCAGTTACAGTGCAGGATTTCTAATACCACTTCATGTTTAAAATTGTAACGTTAAAATTCTTAAGTTGTATTTTATCAGTGTAACACAACAGATCGGGAGGAGCTCTCAGAATGATATATCTTTGACAAGTTTGTACTGGTGCTGAGCTTCGTTGCTGGCACATTTGACGAATGACATTGCAATAGTCCTAGTTTGAGTTAACAGATCTTTGTCACTTCATGAACGCAGCAGACAAAAATCAAAGACAGATGAAGGCAGCAAAATAGTCAAACCAAAAATTGGGATAAAAGGATAAAAAGAAAAAGAAAAAAGAGGAAAAAAGGATGTCAATAAAAGAATACTCATGTCACTAATTTTTTAAATACATAACCATGTTTTTCATCATCAGATTTAAATGAAAAAAAAAAAAAGACATGTCAAACACCAACACGATGGGGCTCATGGATGTGTTCTATTTGCCGATTAAAAGGATCAGTGTTGCTTATAACACACGAATCACATTTTAATATGATGTAATACATGCAGTGTCACCATAATGTAAACCTATATACTGTAATTTTAGTCTTTCACTTTTCAGCCTTTCAGTGTAAAAATTCATCGTGGCATTGAAAATCATGGCACTTCCGAAGCAATGGACACCACCTTTAACAGCTTCAGCAATTACAGCTGCGATCCATGAATGCATTAAACGTTTATATTAAGCACATGCTTAAGTATAAGCAAGATTAATGCTTTGGTTTCTATTGCATTTCATTCATGTGGGAAAAAGAAAGAGGCAATAACGAGTGAGAATTTTGAAACATCTGAAAGAACAACTTTTGATATCAGCGCATAAATCTAAGACCAGAAGAAAGACAGTGGAGGAAGAAAACTGAAAGATTAAGTTTGTGTTTAAAATAAGTGTATTTTACTGTGAAGTGTATTTGTATTTCTTGGAAAAAAAAAATCAAATGGTAAAGCACCAATTAAAGTTTTAGAAAGATGCTGTTTAAATTTTCTAGCTGAAAGTTACATTTCAATGACAACTGTGTAGGAATGCAGTAAAATGTAAGGGGATGAAGAAGTGAATGAAGAAAAACAAAGACAGGCCTGTACCTTTGTTCCAGTTGTTTCATAGTCGCATTTATTTGGTTAGTCTTATCCTCTAAGCGACCAATTATTTCATTCTTTTCCTTCATAGCATCTTCAGAAACCTGTTACAAAAAAGTTTGACGCTGACGTAGGTAGATATTGCACTGTTACCTCTCGTGTTTGTTCTTTCTTCAGTATTTGAAGGAAAAAAGTTAAAATGGCTTTGTGTTTTGATTCTTTTCAAACATTCCCATCTAAAAATGCAGTTGACAGTACTTAACATTTCGTGCCTGGCAAATCTGTAGTTCTGTACTTGGCAAGTGTGGATGCTACTTAATAAGCACACGTTTTTCACTTTGGTTTCGTTTCTTAGTTAATCATTTTGCAAGTCAACTTAAATTCACTGATCCATCTTTTTAAGAAGCCCATTAGAATCTTACCAATAAAGAACTAAGACGCTTAGTCCTGGAAATCATCAAGGTTCTCCAAGTCTTTTCAAACTACCATATGCGCCTAAAAATATTTCCAGAATTTTGCTAAAACATTTCACAATTTTGGTTGCTTGCAGAGCTGTTACAACTGCAGCCTGAAGATGTAAATAAAAGGCAGAGCATTATCCCTGCTATACAGATCAACACCAGCAACTGGCCCCGGAACAGCAGAGACTGGGCATGACCAAACTGTTTTACTCTGCCCGGGAAGTGGGTCTGAATGTCATGAAATGAAATCAGCTTTAGCCACACTCCTCAGATGTACAGCTTTAAAAGAAAAACTAAACCCTACACGTCGCAGGATACTGAAGAGAATTCTCTTCTAATTTTTTTCCCAGCTCTATTTATATTTCTCTTCCTCTGGTCCAGACTCCTCACAGTTGTAGGTGAAAAAGTAGCATCCTTTGTCCAATATCTCGATTATCTCTCTGCAGCATCCTATTTTTTCCCCCTCATTCTCCCACAGATTTGACTGGTTTCTTGTGCTGTTTTTCATCATTTATTTCATAAATCAAATTTATGTTTGGCATAAATAACGCACTGCTAGACTTCCCTGGTGTTTGGTCATTTGTTAACTGCACGCTGGGTCTCAAAGATCCACATTCCCTCAAAGAAGCACTGCACTGTTACAGATTTTCCTCATTTGTTAACAGATTAAAAAACAAACAAAAAAAAAACCACCACCAAACCAAACTGTAATTGGCTTTTTCCATTGAACACAACTTTGTTTTCCAAATGACTTTTCCTCCCTTTGGAAGTTCAATTTCCTCTTTAACTCCTCACTACGTGTCTACACCCTCGTTTCTTTGCACAACGCAGACCAAAAAGTGCCATCATCAAATATACCAGATACTCTTTCTCTATTCCACACAGCATCTTATTAGGCCATGATCTTATTCTCATACTCTTTTCTTCTATAAACCCACTAACATTAAGTGACTGCCTTAAGAACCACTTTGTGTGTAATCACGCTGCCATCTGTAATGCTCCAAAACAACCACCTGACCTAAGAAGTGGAAAGAAGTGAAAAATTAAGGAAACTGCAGTATTTAACTAAACGAAACGGTAATGTTTCTCTCTCACTCCAGTTAAAGCAGTTCCATCAATTTAACAGCAGACTGTTCCTTTACCTGCAGCTTTTGGTACATTTCCATGTTAATTGCTTTAACTTCATCGAGCTGCTGCCGAAGGCCAATGAGGGTATCCTGCTTTTCATGGATGTCCTTCTCCAGCAACTTCATGGCAAGTTCTATCTCATGTTTCATACTGACTTGGGCCACTAGCTCATTCTCCATATCCTACAAAACACCAACACAACGCAACGCAGAAGCTTTAAATAACTGCGTGACATTTTACCTGGTTTGAAAAAGACAAAAGCTGACTGTAAGAGAGCTGCAGCACCGCTTACTTCACCACTTCAGAAATTCTGCTCCTCTTTAACTTTGCAAATTATCTCCTACATAAACATTACACTCTCACGTACTCAGTGACAGATGTTGGGGTTTTTTTAACTTTAGGAGAAGACAACTCACATTATAAGAAATTACCCCACCAGTGTTGCATAAGGAGTTGCCTAAGTATTGATTACAAAAACAGAAAGAAAGGGTTTCTATTTTCACAAGAAATATTTAGCAGACATACAGAGCATACAGTATTGCCAACAATTTACCTAAAATTTTCCCATAGAAAATGTATTTTCTTTACTATGCCTTACCAACATTGTTACAGAAATCTCAATGTATTGACTGCTCCATTAAAAAACCCTTTTTATTACAGGCAGTTAGAGAAAAGGCAATTGAACCTGGATAAAGGCAGTATTTAAGCTCAGCAAATGCAGATACAGAAATATTTATACACTGACTCTTTTCCAGCATAATCTTTTCTAGAAACGTGCTGTGTAATTCTAGAAAAGAATACTTACTTGTCGTAGTTGTGATTCTTCTCGAAGCTGTCTACGTGCTTCATTGTACATCTCATCTAAACCCTGCCTGGAGTGTTTGTACGTCTGAAGTTCTGCTTCAACATCCACTTTAGTTGCCTACAAAGATACAGAGAATCCACCTCTGCTCATCAGAAGCTTAGCAGTGAATAGCATAAACATAAACACTTGTGTAGGATTAAAAAAAAAAGCTTGAAAATACATTCTCCAAGCACAGTACAAGCAGGGAAAAAGCTGTTTCTGCTACGTGGTCATCAATTTTATAATGAGAATTGAGTAAATCTAGCAAAATAAACATCTGTACTGCAGTACAGTCCTCCAGTACGTCACTCTAATGCACAACTGCTTCAGTACTGAGCAACCCAAACATCCGCTGAACCTGTGCTCTTCCCAATTACCCTGAAAAACGCATACGGGAAGTTACATCAGGAGCTACAGATCACAGCTTAACAAAACAAATAAGCAATTGTATACAAGACGACTCCAAATGACATTTCATACAATGAGACAGGCCAGAATAAACAGTTTGACAACTAAAACGCACACAACTTTGACAAGCCTTTCAGGTAATATTGGCTTAAATGCTCTTAGATACAGCTCACCATTTAAAGAAAAATGGAAGAAGGGAAGAAGGATAGAAAGATACGAAGTTTATGGTTGTAAAACAACCTAGTGTCCTCTAATTTTAATGTATTTATGCCATTATAAAGCTTCCCAGATCTAATAGGTCCTTTCTCCAGTAAAAGTTGTTTTAGATTTGGCCCAGCTACTGCTTACTTCGAGTTGCAACATAAGAACATTCAAATGACAATGAACCACACAACGTTGCTATTTTAAATACAGTAAATCTCACATACCTCTAGATGATGCTGTGTTTTCATTAAAATAAGGGTATTTTCACTCCTTAATTGATGGTTTTCTTCCTGAAGTTTAATTATATTGTTTTTGGCTATTGCTAACTGGAGGGAAGAAAGAAAAAAACAAAAGGCAGTGTGATCACTTTTTGAGTGGAAATAAAGGAAAAAGTGTTCTGATGAATGCAAGACTAAGACATTCTCTGTCCCATTCTCAGTCTATCAAACAGAGGTTTAACTTTTTTTAAAGAAAATATGAAGCTTCTGGTTTTAGTAATGGGTCACTTTCATTACACAACAGCATGGGTATTCAAAATACTTCATCATTTCATGTCTGGTAAAGAATACACTTCCTTTTCATTGCTTCATTATGACCTGAAGACCCTCAATCCCCTTTCCCCATCCTAAATTTTTCTTCCACTTGAATTCAAATATATCCCATTTTGCCCTTTTTTTGACATCCTAAGATATCTTATGGAGCAATTTACATAAGATAACCTCTCCCAGATGAAAATAAAACATTTACAAAAGAGAAAACATTATAGCTGGGCACTACAGTATATACCTTAATGTCAGAATTATAAGGCAGCTGAGTTTAACAAGTTGATAGCTGGACTGAAGGCTTGTAAAGGAACTGGAATACTCTGAGAATTAACGATTTTTTAACAATATTTTCTCTCTATCTGGATACTTTAATACCCAGAGTGAGGTAGCTATCCATTCAACAGCTGAATTTAGACATTTCAACTTTCCACTCCATTAACTAATTCTCGCATTTAAAAAGAAACATGCTTTCTCTTATAAAGCTAAATACATTGGAATCTAGTCAACCATCAAAGAGAACCAAAAATACAGGACAGAAATACAAAACCAGAGCTAGACAAGTCTAAAAACTGCATATAAGTACATGGTAAATACGCAAGAAACAATCCTTTGGCTAAAGCTGAGAAGAGTAACAAAAACCGCTTACTGGACCACTTTCTGTCTCTTTGTAGCAACTGGTGTCATTCATTATGGACCACTCATCTGCATGAAAACAGACTGAGAGCTGGCATGGAGAGAGGCTTCTCTTCTGTTTTTGTCCCAACTGGGAAATTGTGATGTTCTATAAGATTCATTTACTGATGCTGCAGGCCACCTAGGCAAGCTAACTTCAAATCCCTGCAGCTACTGCATCTTTTCTTCAAGCCAAAATAAAGCTATCTGATCATATTACACAGATCTTATTTAGATTAAAATGATTTATTTATAAAAATAGTTTTTGAAGGTAAACAATATCTACCACACATTAGTAAAAAAAAAAATACCTCTTCGATCAGTTTAGTGTTTGATTTCTCTAGTGAATCAACTCTCGCATGTAGACTGCTAACTGTGCTACTGAAAGAGAAAAAAGAAAAGGATTTATTTAAAATTACACCAAAATTCATTCAACCAAGCTCAAAATGTGATACACAACGATTAATGGTTAAGTGCTAAAAGGCATGGTCCCGATATTTGAGGTTTTCCTAAATATAAGAAAATCAGTTTTCTTTGTTGAATGTTCATATGCTTCTTCCCAACTCTCAGTGTAATCCCTGTCACTTCAACTCCTGGCTGGGTGTGACTTTGCATTGCTCCCTTTCCTTTATCCTCACAACAGTATCCAAATGTTTCACCAGTTCCCTTCAAAGAGAGTTTGCAATATTCTTGGGGTTTTTTCCCCACCCATATAATGAAAACCATTCTCCAGGTTTTCTTCCTCCAAAATCCATTTCTTTTAGAAAATTATGTGCTTCTCTGAATTTTTTTGAGCTTTAACCTCAGGTTTCCTCTTTCTTGATGCTTCTTGACTTCATTTGCAACTCTCATCAGAATTTTATTCCCTTTCATTACTCTGTGGGTTATTTTCTTATCAAACTACAGCCAAGCCTTCTCCATTACGTGATTGCCCATTTCTGCTGTAAGCACATTTTTTCAGGCTGCACTTTACACACAGAAAATAATCCCTACTATGTAACATCATTTCCTTTTCCACACATGTCTACTGTGGTGTCCTTAGAAGTTACTAGGTCATTAACAATGGCAAGGTAGAAGAGATTAATGCATTCTAGGATATGTGGAAACAAACAGCTGACCTGAAATAAAAGAGGAGAGCTGTTGGACCACTGGTTTGCAAATAATTCCATGGATAAGCCAGTGTAGAAGAACACAGTCAATACACAGAGGCTCACCTGAATAATGACAGCTATCATGACACAAACATCACTATTTTTAATCATGATAGTTCCTTTCTCCTCCTTAACTTACTTTCATTTTGTTCATATTTGACACACTCAGTTATTCTGTCCTGTTGAAGGCTTCTGCTCAGGGACTGACACAACAGTAATTTAGCCATATAGTAATTTATGATGAGTATTACCAGCATTAAAAGCCAGAAAACATGATTACATTTCAAAAATGGATCAAGAAGATCAGCTATACTACAGATGCTACAGAAGTTCTCTGTGGGTTTGTTGGGGTTTTTTGGTTGGTTGGTTGGTTGGTTGGTTTTTTTAGCTCCTTGCACTGTTTAATTTTGTACAATACTCCTCAGAGAATTACAAGCACTGCTCTTCCATTTGTACAGTAACACACACAGTAGCGGACCGGGTTTGCTCCATCCTGCAAAGTAACAGTGAAAGGCTGCTTTCTTGAAAACTGTTTCTAAAGGAACCACAACCTACAGTTACAAGTAGTAACCAGCAAGCAATGAAAATATTACGGAGGGCAAAGAAACAAAACCAAGTGGATTCACCCAGAACACTCAATAATACTTTTTGAAAGCTGTTAAACAGAATGGGGTTAAAGCCCAGATCAAGCTTTTCATTTCTGTGAAGTTATGAATCGTGAGGGTTGACCTCGATCAGTTTTGGCCTGCTGTTTTTCATTTCTTTGAAGAATAAAGGTTCTGACTGTCAAAAATAAAAGCACAACAACTGAGACTTCCTGAGCCTCTCCAGAAGAGAGGCTTTCCGACTTCACTACATCCTCAGTCTAAACATGAAGAATTTGTGCCCCTTCCCCTCCTCTCTCACAAAGCTGCGGTACAAAAGGAATTTGAGGTATTTTTCACCTGTCAGCCTGGATTAACGTGCATACTTCAAAGTAATACTTACTTCAGTTGTCTGTTTAGTTCTTCAACATAATTCTTTTGGTCCAAAATTACAGCAATCTGTACATCTCTAAAGCAAGCACATAATAAAATTAGCTTTAACAAAACGATGCAGTGAACTATGTACTGAAAATATCCACATATCTATCCATCATATGCCAATGTCCATCTTAATTGTGCTTTTCTAAAAGAGAGGAAGCAGCTTCATCCAACAATCATGAAGTCAGTAACTTACATGTTGTGACATCAGTGAGACAAAAAAACCCCAATGCTCTAACTGCAAACAATTTCTCTACATGAAACACAAGAACATACAGAATCTCGAAAGAAAAAGGATGTTTATTTACTCTGCCATAGCTCTGGTTCTTTGAAATACTGACCAAATCCCAAGCTGAGGGCTTAAAGGGTCTTTTTTCACTCCCACCTTGCAATCCTCCAACACCATCCATCAGGTAAAGGAAGGAGGTGATGTTGCTGAGGCTTGCTTGAGAGTGCAAATATTCTTCCAGCTAACTAGTAATACAGAACACTGTAGTGTTCGTTTTTCTCAAGACAGTGAGATCAGAACACTTCATCTTTAGAGAACCTGACCTATTTCTACAAAGAACAGGGCACCAGTCAAGAAACCGTTTGTTAACATTCAAAATCTGAGGTATTTGGTGAGGACATACCTTTCCTTACCCCCAATGTCATCATCACTCTTTAAATACATAGAGAAATCGATCACGCCAACCTAGGGGAAAGCAAATGTAGAGTTTCATATCACACAAGTAACTGTTGTTAATATTCATGGTCTTGTATCTACATAATTACTAAAGCCTCAGTAACATCAGATTTTTAAGATGGGTTCAGTTTTAGCCAGAAGGTCAAAAAGCTGTGACTTTTTTTTAAGTACAGTCTCACATATTTGTTAAGAATTATGTTACCTTGGACCAAAACTAACAATGTGTCACATACTAAATCTCAAAGAAAAGATGACTTCTTACATCTGACTCAGCTTAGCCAAGAATTTACAGCCTACAGAGAGCAGTTGTGGATGCCCCCTCCCTGGAAGTGTTCAAGGCCAGGCTGGATGTGGCTTTGAGCAACCTGGCCTAGTGGGAGGTGTTCCTGCCCATGGCAGGGTGGTTGGACCAGATGATCTTTACCTTCCAACACAAACCATTCTGTGATTCTAGGATACACTTATTTACAAATGCTTGTGCATCTGCCTTTAAAAAGAATCAGTCAAGTTTTTCTTGGAAAAGATCAGAGTTCAAAGCCAAAGCACTTTGCAAAGCAGGAAGAATTCTAAGTCTTGCTTTGCAGATTGAAAAGTCACTCTCTTACAAGGTCTTCTATTATACTATGCAAAGCAAGTTTTTGTTTCAGGTCCTTGAAACATTCCTATTATGTTCCAGAACAACAATAAATGAACCAAATGGGATAAACTGACCATGGAACAATACTTCTGCTGCAAAGGAAAAGGATGACGTACGCAATTAAGATGGAAATAACTCTGCATTGCTTCTCTTGCATCCATGTGATGACAAAGCATGAAACTCTACCCTTGCACTCTGACAGTTATCACCATCTGAAGGTTGGACCCAACTGATACTGAGGTTTATGCAACAGCCCCCACTGATCCAGGAGCTGGATCACACCTTAAGAAGTCTCTTGTAAGATTTCTAACAAGTCATAACTTCATAGTAACAAAATTCACTGTACATAAAAATCTTACAGATTGCATGCACATTACTTTACCTGTATTGACTTACTTGTGAATCTAGGTCTTCTCCCTTCACACACAAGTTAGCATCTATCACATTTAACCCAACTAACAGCCCAACAATAACTGCTCCTTCTTCCTCCATCATTAGTGCATGATACTCATAAAATTCACTGTTAAAGAAGAAAATTGCATCTTACTGGTACATATTGTTACATTTACAACCAATAAATTAACAGTAAGTGACATCTAAATCCGATTTTTTGTCTTATTTTAGCCTTACTCCAGCATCCTTACAGATGAACTGGGTCTGTCCATACTTTCACCTCATAAACATTTAAAAACTGAAAGTGTGTGGTTTGTCTCAGAGGCTATTAAAAACAAAGATACTACCTTTGGCCCTAGAAATCTGAGCCACAAGCTGCTGGAGAGCTGGGAAATTTGAGGGGCAAGACCTATTTTTCTTTTAAAAAAAAACCACGAACAAACGAAAAACGGTTCTTCCCTAAACACTTGCTATTAGCCACTTTTGAACAGGATACTGCAACAGATGGATGTTTGGCCACACTGAGTCAGACAATTCTTATGTTGTTAAGAAACACGAGCAAACACAAAAGAAGAATGGTAAAAAACTTATCTGCTCTGAAAAAAGGTCTGAACTTTAATGAACACATGCTTGAAGTTAAAGCAGCCAAGTAAGAGATTAAATGGGTAAGAGAAGAAAAATGGAAAGGGCTGACATGCTAAAAAGGTTTTTAAAATAAAAAGTCTCCACTAAAAACCAGAATACCAACAATCCTCCTCCTAGCATTTTTAAATAAAGTTTCGGAGTCCATGAAACAAACTGAAAAGTCTCAAAAATATGCATAGGTTATTGAACTGAAATTAAGATGACAAGGGGTTTTTTCCCCCTTTGTGCTTCAACTACCTGATCAGAAAGGAGAAATTATACTATAAGAGAGCAATGCAAGTTTTAGAACTGTGAAAGGAAAGATCAAGGAAACAGTCCTCCATGCAATGGTAGCTCAGTAGGAAATATGGCACAGGTGAATTCATCTTCCCCCCAGAGGTTTCTAGTCTGTATTCTGCATGGCAGAGGAATGTAGCAGGAGCGCTTCCCCATCATCTGCAGCTATGAAAGAACAGTCAGGCACATTGCAGAAGGCCCACCTACATGAGGGTCAGCTGGCCCTCAGTCTTGATGAGGCACCAGTGTTTGGTCCCTCTACCCTTAGGACTGGGAGAAATCGGCCCGCAGGCCAGAAGCTACGCCTTGCTACACTAAGGGCACATTAAAAAGTAGCAAATAAAAAAAAATACTACATTTTTTTTCCAGGAGACTAAACCTCTAAAAATAAATTATAACAAAATCTGCTTCATTGTTTACCTGAGAAGATCTCTCTGAATGATTAAACAGCGAAGATAGTCAGCCATTTTCTTCTGCATTAGTGCCAACCGTAACCAGGCCCGGGCACGGCCCAGTGGTGTTCTGCAAAAAAAAGGGCATGAAGACAAACAGTCCCAAATCAACAATATATTAACCATTTCACTGTCTTAAACGTCTTATCAGTCTATTGGTGGAGCAACTGGTATTTCTGAAAGTGTATTCTAAAACTACTGGTCGAGCAAGGTGGTCTGGGAAGCCATAATGTCCAGGTTTTGAGCCCAAGCTTTGGGACAAAGCCAGAAAAATTTTCATCAGCTCAGCTGGGCTTAGGAGCAGACTGTGGAAAGAGCCTGTTCCTACAGAGACAGCACAAGAGCTTGGCAGCAAAATTCACTGGTTTGCTCAGAGAGTGAACACATGCAACTTTCTACGCACTGTTGTGTTTTGATGTGCTTTGTTCTCACACAGTGCATGGTCAGGAGCATGGAAAGAAGCTTTAAGAGTGGTGCTGTTTTCCTGTACCTTCTTCTTAATCTGGCAGTGCCTGTAAAGGTAATCTTGAAAGTCCCGTTTCTAGCTGAAACTTCTGCAACAATTCAGACTCCTTTCTGCCACTTACTTACAAACTCTTCAGAGAAATTGTGAGAGAAGGAACAGGATGTCCACTACAACTCATCACGCAAGCCTGCCTTCCCAACCCTATTCTCTGGGTCTACAAAACACACACTGAATTCTAGCTTTAACTCATACCTGTTTACAAATTCAGTGGTATCTTAGAAAGACAATTCAAAAAAAGATTAAAATCTATGTAACTGGCAAACATTAATATCTAACAAATTAAGCCTGGACCTTTAGATCCTCCTCTTCCAGTTCTTGCACACTTAGAAGTGCTAAGCACATAAATGCAAAAAAAACCAAACCCAAAAAGCCCCAACAACCTGCATGCTGTATCAGG